TAAACTATGATTCTACAACTTAACTATTAAGGATTCTCAACTCATAAAGTTATATTGAACAACCAAAAATACAACTAGCAACATATAACAACATAAAATTAGACAAAGCACATATATATATGAGAAACAACGATGTTACATATTTATTATCTAATTTAAATTCTTCTAACATAGTTTATTATTTAAACAGTCGTGAGGGACAATACCATTGTAAAAATAAATAAAATTGTAGTTGTAAATACATATGTATTATTACAAAAAGATGTAAATTGTGAGACTAACTAGAAGAGCTTCCACGATAGAGTTAATTAGAAATGAATCACTAAATTTTTATGACATACTTGCACTTTGTTGCTAAAGCTCTAGTTTGGATATTTAGAGTGGAAATTGAGTGTAGTAAATTTTTATGACATCATAAACAAAAAATTTAGAATTAAAAATATAAAAAAATTTGAGAGAAATTATATTATGTAATTATAGCTCTATGAAAAAAAGTGTAAAATAAATTTAAATCAATCTTATAAAAAAAATTAAGAATGTTTTATTATTTTAAAATATTACAAAAAAATTAGCATATATCATCTTGAAAACACAATTAAAACTTTCTTCAAAAGAGAACAATATACATGACAAATAAAAATCGTTGTCATGTTGATTAATGATAGACACATGCAACACAAAAACATTTTAATGCATATTTTATTATATATTATACATGAATACTAACTTTAAAATTTTAAATTATATTATTTATTTGCATGAAAATTACACATAAAATACTTACAGTCATATACTATTTTGTATTTGATTTATTTGATAATCATATTATTAGTATAAAATATTCACCAACATTATCAATGACTAATTTATATACAAGAATATATGTATACTAGATTTACATGTAATTATAAATATATATATATATATATATATATATATATATGAAGCCGGCGTCCCCTGCTCGGCATCTGGAAGGTCCGCAATAGGAACATCCGACCTCGCCTGCGAAAACCAGCCCCATGTCAAAAAATAAATAAGGTGACATACAGGAAACCACGAAAGTCAGGGACCGAAGCCGATCCCTAGCCCGTCACTTTGGGAAGGGCCTTTCAAAGGTGCGGCTGGACCACGTGAGCGCCTCGACCGACATGGACTCGCTGTGGAGCGCGGGGGTGACCGCTGAGAAGTTCTTCCCTCAGGGCTCGTTGAGCTCCGAGGACCAGGGGTTGATAGACGAGG